AAGTCGATTTAGAATTTCCGGTTGGAAAATTGAGTGTTATATGTACGTATGAGTATGTTTTGTTTTATTGGGCTATTTTTTAAGCGAACTCGATAATTGTATGTTTAATACGTTTGAATGAATTAGGCGGTCATAAAGGATCGGGCAAATCTTTGCTTCTCTTATCATTACTTCGCGAGACTTATGTTATAAATGGTTTCGTTCATTTTCCCACCACTTCCGTTGCTTATGTCGCTCAACAACCATGGCTTGAAAAAACAACCATACGTGATAATATACTATTTGGTTCAACTTTTGATGATGAACGATATTGGAATGTCGTGGAAACGTGTAATCTCTCAACAGATTATGAGAATATGGAACAGGCTGATATGACAGAGGTTTCTATATATTTGATATATATATATATATATATAGATATATATAAAGTTAAACTAGTTTATTTATTTATTCATTATAATAATATTATATTTTTATTTAATAAAATTAGTACGATGATGAAAATTTGACTTTAACTGACGATCAAAAAGCACGTATTACATTTGCGCGTGCTATGTATAGTTCAGCACAGATATTGTTATTGGATAACTGTTTGGAGTCTGTCGAAACAGTAAAAGGTAAAATTGATAAAAGAGAAGTTGGAAAACGTGCATATGAAAAAGATGTCACTCACAATTATGTTTAATTATAGCACGTCAAATTATAGAAAGTTCACTCAATAGCCCATTCTTATCAAATCGGACTGTTATTATAGTCTCTAATCATGTACGATTATTCTTGAATGCTGCCGAATTTATTGTTGTATTGGGAGATGGTGTTGTTTCTGCTAAGGGAACCCCGCAAGAAGTAACAGAAGCAGGAGTTCTGACAGAAGAAATTCTCGGAACTGATACAACTAATGAACAAATTCGTGTTGATAAAACCGAGGAGTTATCATTAAATCAGGCATTGGAAAAAGCAGATTCAGATAAAAGGAATTGGACATCTGAAGAAGGTAAGCATTATTTTCTGATTTTTGTAAATTATAAATATCCTTATATTTTATTTTTTATCAAAAGCTCGAGTTCAAGGCAATGTACGGTCGAGTATTTACTTTTATATCAAATCTAGCGGAGGAATATTTGTATGGTTTATTCTGCTACTGCTTTTCCTCATTATCCGACTGCTCACGGTCGGTGAGACTTATTTACTCAAGTTATGGTCAGATGATGCAACCAATAACGGAACTCTGACACTTCGCATTGAAGATCTCAATCAAACAACATTAGATTCATCACAGGGCGATCTATATTATATAAAAGTATATGCATTAATAGCAATTGCATCGGCAGGTTTTACTATTATTCGAATGGCATGGCAATTTTATATCTCGCTAAAAGGTTCACGAACAATGTTCTCAAAACTATTAAATTCAATATTGAGAGCTCCATTGAGTTTTTTTGACACCGCGCCATTAGGAAGAGTGATGAATAGGTTCTCAAAAGATTTGGGCGTTGTTGATCAAGGTCTTCTGACAGTGATGGCAAGCTTCATGGGTAATTTAGTGGGTGCGGTGTGTGTACTTGCAGTTGTCACATGGGTCACATGGCAGTTTGGGTTTGCGTCAATAATAATTGGTTTGTATAATTCGAGAATGCAAGTTTTTCGCGCTGCAAGTTATTAATTTTCATTATTATTTAACCTTTGATTCAGCCATTTTGTACATAATTATTGGGGGCATGTATATAAATGTTTCGAGGGAATTAAAGCGATTACAGTCTATAAAGCGAACACCTGTAGTTTCTTGGTTTTGTGATACTGTCGGGTGAGATGGAGAAGTTGATAGTTTGTAGAATCAGAAATAGATTATAGGATATTGATTAAATCTTTATTTAACATGACAACTATGTAGAGGGATAACCACTATACGAGCATTTAATGCTGAAAGAAGATTCGTCAAGGAATTTATTGAAAAGTACGCAAAAATCAATTTGTTAAAATTTATAACTCGAACCTTAAAAATATTAATTAATTTGATTAATACAGATTGAACGAGTCTAATCGAACCACTTACCTGTTACATATGTCAAACCGGTGGATGTCAATTCGCATGGGCACAATTGGCGCCTTTGCATCATACTTAGCCGGATACTTTATTTTGATGAACTTTACTGAGATTGACGCCGGGCTTGCTGGGTTTTCGCTGACTTATGCACTTGGATTTGTGCAAATTGTATCCGTACGCATCATATTTGAACTTTTTACCAGCAATTCTGATTAGACGAATCACACTCCCTTTTGTGTATTGACACCTTGTTGCTGATTAGATGCTTGTTAAGGATTACACGAGTATGGAGACAAGTTTGAATAGGTAAACTTATGTTTAATGAATGGACATCATTAGGTGACTTGATGCCTAATACAATCATATTAAAATATTTTGTAGCGTGGAACGCATCGAAGAATACATTGAAATGCCACAAGAACCCCCAGCCGTAATTGATAATATTCAACCGCCTGCTGCGGTATTTATTTACCATCTTTGAATATTTGGTCTACTGTTATATTCGATTCATATTTTTCTAATATTAATATTAAATGATAGTGGCCAACCAATGGAAATATCGAAGTATCCAAACTTACGGTTCAATATTCACCCGAACTAGACCCTGTTCTACGAGATGTTTCTTTCACGGTGCACGCTGAAGAAAAAATTGGGATTGTTGGAAGGTAAACTCTCTGAGTTATCAATAATTTGCGTTCTTTCTCAAATCAATACTTTCCTTTTAAAATTGTAGAACAGGTTCTGGTAAAAGTACCTTGGCAAATTCATTTTTACGTCTTGTTGAACCTGTGGATGGATGTATAATTATCGATGGAATAGACATAGCAGAGATTGGACTAGAAGATCTACGCTCAAGAATTACAATGATATCACAGGGTACGAAGTTTTTGTCTTATCATCCCAAGATAAATGGTATCGCATATTAATTCATGCGTATTTCTACAATACGTGAATACGTGATCAATAGATCCAATACTCTTTGAAGGGACCGTTCGTTCGAATCTTGATATCCGCGGTGAATACGATGATAGAGAATTATGGGAATCCTTAAGACGTGTACATTTTGTTCAATTCAACGAAGAGGGTTCGACCAGTGATTATAGTCTTTTCATGTCTGGACCAATACAAACTTTGGACGATCCTGTAAATGAAGGCGGAAGCAACTTCTCGCGAGGGCAAAGACAATTATTATGTTTAGCACGAGCATTATTGAGACAATCTAAGGTATTTAGTGTTTGTTACTTGTCTCTTACAATCTAAAAAAATAACGATTCCATCTATTTGCTAACTTTCGATTCAGATAATAATTATGGATGAAGGTAATTTTTTTTTCTCAATGAAACAAAATTTGATTAGTATTTAAGTATTTCGCTTAAATAACATTTCTATAGCAACAGCAAGCATTGATCCAGAAACTGATAACAAAATACAAGAAACGATCAGGACGGAATTTCAATATGCAACTGTTTTATGTGTTTCGCATCGATTTAGAACTATAATAGATTCGGATCGGATATTAGTTCTTGGTAAGACGTAACCTACTTCTTTTTCCGTAACGAATTATAATTCTTCGTTCAAACTACTATTATTAATATTTATTCCTCTATTGATAAGACGATGGTGAAGTCGTTGAATTCGATACACCATACAATTTAATAAACAACCCGGACGGATTATTCCGACATTTATGCGAGGCGACTGGAGAATTAGAGAATCTAATGCAATTGGCAAGCCTAATTCTTCCAGATGATATAATTCCTGAAACACAACAAGACACAGAACTACACGATGATGACGAAGTTATAGATAACGAAGAAAATACACCACGACAACAATTCACATTAGATCCAGAATATCGTGAAGGGCACGAAAGTGGAGCAGAAAATCAAGACGCGGATGAAAATCACCAAGAAGACGATAATAATAACAATGATTTCTCAAATTTAGAGAATCCTGATAATAGATTTGATAGTCAAAATATTGGTGATGAATTATCTTCACAAGAGCGGAGGCAGCCTAGAGACGAGGATGAGCATGATTGGGGTGAAGGTCATGATGACCAATATCGGGAGAATGTAGATGAGGAAGATGATGAAGATCAGGAATATGATGAGGGAGAGGAAGGGAATGATGATGATGAATCACAGGATGGTTACAATTAGTAAACTATTATAAATGTATACATTATAGAATTTGGGCTGGGATATAGACTTGTACAAAATTCAGTGAGAACTTTTATTTATTGAAGAAAAACACTTGATCCGATTCTTACATTTGTTGTAACGTATTGTAGTAGTAACGCATTGTAATAGTTGTTTAATTTAGCGCTAAAAATCCTTTCTCCTGGGGAAATTTTGTAATAAATTAAATAATTAGAGTTATATAAAATAAATAAAGTTGTACAAATTGGCGTGTGTATCTTTTTTGTTCATATATATATATATATATATATAGATAGATAGATAGATAGATAGATAGATAGATTTCGAATGGTTCAATGTATGTACGTATGCGTTGCGTGTATGTTTGATTATATGAATTATCGTCAATAGATTTCGTCAAAGGGTTGAGTGTCATTGAAGCAACTTTCAAACACATCCTCGACCACTTTTTCTGCTATTCCTGGTGCGGAACAAGAAGTATTATGTTTTACTGACAATATGGCTCGTCGTTTTACGCAAACCTTTTTTTTTCAAAAATTAAAGTTAATTTTCTAATGATCTTTTGTAATATAATAATAATGAAAGTATTATTTACCTGGTGTTGTTTGGAGAAAGTGAAAAATCCTCGTCGAATTTCTCTTGACCATCGACAATCACCACTTAAACTAGCTGCGCGAACCTTTTATATCAAACAAAAAAGGACAATTCCAGAAGCCGAAATACTATCGCCATTTTTTTTGAATCTTTTCAAGATCATCGCATTATTTTCCCTATCCAAAATTAAAAAGTTCAAACCAAAAAATCTTACCTCGCTACATGCATGATGCCAGCAATTATTCCAATCAATTTTAAATCGACAATGATCATACATATGAATCATTTCATGAATCAAGGTATCCTCTTGATGTGCTTTGCTGAAAAAACGATTCTGACATAAAATGATGCCATGATCTGGGGAGAAACCGCCACTACGCAATTCATCACAAGGTGCACATTTGATGTGTTGCGTTGAAATTTTACAACCAGCTTTTTCCAGGTTCTCGCGCATAAATATTACAGCTGGACCTTTAAAAAACGAGTTAATAATAAAACATATTTGTGAACTATCATTTTAAGACAAAATGCACAAAAATACATTTCGTATGCAGCATATACATAGTATCATCAAGTATTGAGCCAATTCGTTATTTTTCCCATTTATTACATACTCCACTTCAACAACTTGTCTCTACGTTTTTCACAAAGCCCGCATTGTTTCCGTTGCATATCTTCAGCGATATAAGCTTCATGTTCAGCTTTTTCGACTGGTGTCAGGCCAATACCAGTTATATATTTCAGACTACGCCGCCAACGCTCGAATTTTTTTTGGACTGTCGCTGTTGTTTCGTAAGCTTCTACGACTTGAGGCTTATCCTGCGTGGAAGGTGATATCGATGTAGAAGTTGAAGAGGACATTCTAATAATGTTCGATGACTCATATTCGTGAAAATTTTAATGAAATATAGTGTAACCACTTATCCACGTGAAGAGTTTTCTGAACAAGAATAAATTTTCTCAATCGCAAATGAAATATTTTTTACGCATCATGATAAAAGACGATAAAAATCCATTTTGTACACGTATTTTGCTGTTCGAGAATAAATTTCGCTAAATATGGCGATAATAAAATTTGACCAAATAAAGTAATAAAAAATATTCCCATTTCTAACACTAAAAAGGTAAAAATTGAAATTTATCAATCTCAACAAAATAAACTATAATGAATCCTGGGAATTCGTCGTCTATTTTATCATTAGTATATTTACATCACTCATGCGTCATTTACATTATTTGATTACGATATAAAAAATTATTCGTTTTTCTTATAAAAATACGGTGTGTCTTCAGTCAGTCAATTTTAACCAAAATACTCTGGTAGTAAGTCGTAATACACATCTTCACGATTACTAAAACAAAAAGAAAATGCCACCAGTAGGAGTAACACCCAAAACCCGATCAATGATGCGTTTTCTCTCCATCGATCCAGAAATATTTCCATTAATGGGTGTTCTGCTAACAATTTTTACCGGGGTCGGGTACATGTTGGGAAGGAAAGCGACAAATGTCAATTCGGAAGGTAATATTCGTATAGCAAGTAGTCAACCGTTTCCGTGGCATCAACAACAGCAGCAGCAGCAAAGAAATGGAGCGGAAAAAAAAGGGGAAGGGGAAACGAGCGATTTCAAATATCGGTTTCATAAGAATGCCGATTTGAATGAACAGATTCTCGAGGCTCCTAGCGCTGTTGCTGAACATAAAATTAGGGTTAACTTGCCGAAAGAGACTAAAGAACGCCTTCCGAAAGGAATGACTGTTGAGTAATGATAGATTAAAAATGGTTTATGTATTGATTTTTGAAATTTTTATTACAGTTATGGAATTTCTAAATAAATATGTAGGATCATAATAATATATTATGTACATTCTATAATATATATTTTTACAGATAGAACCCAAATTTCGTAACTATTACTTATACAACCTCATTTACACCTCTTTTTCTTTTATTATTGTAATTGTTTCCTCTATAATCAAAAAATCGTAGAAATAAATTTCTTCGCCGCCTCCTTGAATTATTATTCATATTACAATTTTGATTTTTTGCCTCCGCAGAAGTCCAGCTTCCCTTTGTTATTGTTTTTCTTTTTCCTTGATTATTAGGAATAATTTCAGTTGGACTACCGGTAATAACAGGAGTACTTGAAACTGGACTATTAGTAAATTGAACTTCTGTCACTCCTTTTTTTCTGTCTTCTTCATAATAATCCGCAGGTTCTCCGTAAACAGCTTCCCAAAAAACTTCAGTTAAATCTCGATTTTCAATTGCAATCGAATAAAGTAAAACATTCCAATATCCGATCCAATATTGTCGTTTATCGCCCATGAAGCCACTTAATAGCGCATGTAAGAAATCGTATTCGTGTATGCGAACATGATCGAAAAACATTGTCCGATTGTCTGCCGGATCTAGTCCATAAAGACCGGCAATATTATTCGCTAGTCCGAGGAAACTTAATACGTGACTTGGGTTTTGGAATAAATCATTAATTACATGATTTGTGAAGTTGAGACTCTGAAGCCATATTAGTGATGACGTTACTTGGAGTAACTTCACGTATAATGCAATTAATCCAAGAAGAATTAATAAAGGACGCGCTAAAAGTGAATATAAGATTTTGTGTGTGATTCGATACGTTTGTTCCCATTCTGGTTTGTTTAGTGTAAATTTCACGAAATCTGTGAGAGTGTCTATGAACGGCGGATCATGAAATTCCGTGATAAACGTAGAAGGATTCATGTAATGGATAAATTTAAATAATGAGAAATTGGCAGTGCTCTGTAATACTACTGCTAAGTTCAGGAACGCAATTCCTTTGTTTAAGACTGAATGAGATAGAATAAATGCGAGTAAGTGTACAAATGCCAGAATAAAATGAACAAGGAGAATAGCGAATTCAATCAGGTGACCTAATCCAGTTGCAGAAACTAAATTTGAACTTGGATTGATAGAATTAATAGATTGTCGAGTAATAAAAGTAATATTTAATGCTAATTGTCCTATTAACAATACAAAATGACCACATGAATGTAGTCCCAATTTTTCTTCCACCAGATTTCTTGCCATGGTTTGTAAGAACGAAACAGTGCTCGGCAATGGTGGTTGAAATTCTTTCCATCCAACCTTTTTATTATGTCCCTGTTTCTTTACAAATTCTGAAAAATTCTTTTTGCAATCCCAATATTCATTTTGTGATCGTGAATGATCGAGATTTTGTGTTGTTTTCAGGTAGTTTGCGTAGGATGACCAGAAATCTTTGAGTGGTCGTTGTGTTAGCGTGGTTTTTGACGCTACTTCTTTATAGATTATTTTTATGTATTCTTCGATTTTGGATTCAGCAACTAATATAAAACTTAATCGTCGTTGCGGTAATTTTCTGCCTTTGTTATTAATGCCGTCGATCATATCGATATCGTTTGTAATTTAAGTTTGAGTCAATCAATTATAGAAAGTTTAAGATAAAAAAAAATAGAATTACAATTCAAAAACCTTGCGCATACCCCGTTTATATAAATTTTATAACAATCAGTAAAATTTTGTCACATCATCTAAATCGAGTTTAGGAAATTCTCATTGTTCTTGCTTTATTTGTGTCTATATTCTATATATTGTTTATTCCTAATATAAAAATGCTACATAAACATAATTCTCTTTGTTTAGGAATATAAGGGTTTTATGTTATTACTGAAATTAAATGTTTTAGTCACTGTTCACAAAAATAGGTTAATTTATTTGCATTTCTTCGAGAGACTTCATTTCATTTTTTTCTTTTAACATTTTCTATTAATTATCATTTAACAAGGATATACCTAATATTAATTATCTAATAAATATAATAAAATAATCAAAAAATTAGCCTATTTTTAGGTCCCCATTCATTGACTATTAACACTTTCTCTGCCATTCACAATAAATGCACCGTACCAAAGATGACATAAGAGCTTGCTTTTCATGTACATGTATATTGAGTGGCGCGTTCTTTTTATTAATATCTTTTTCTCATGATTCTAGTTTTCACACCGCAGGATGTAAAAAGGGAATATTCTTACTAATGAAATTTAAATAAGCACATCGTACCACTATTATTCTTTCGTTCTTATCAATGCAATTATATATATACATGTATAAAAGAAGTCGAGTGACCGATTTCTTTTTTTTCAAATCGCATTATCTGAATAAAAAATCGTTATTGCCAATAAAGGAAGATGCCACGACGATAAACAAATTTGGTTTATTTATTTCCCCTGTACGCAAAAAAATGATGAGATTGGCGTATTAAGACGCAGCGTTGGCAAGCTTTTCATCTCCAGACTCCGCTTAAACGGCAACTGGAATATCTCTGGTTGTCGGACAAATCAGTACTCGGAAAAATCAGGATTTTAAAATGCTTTTGTACTCCAAATTAATTGGTTTGAACACTTGCATCCATACTGCATCCATGCATTCATTTTCATAATACTCTTTTTGGATTTACTAACCTCCCCCCCTCCCCTTAAGATCAAGGTTAAGATTAAGGTTAGATGATTTTCTGCGGTATTAAAAAAAGAAGATAAATTCAGTTATCCGCTTTGATCTTGTTATTAACTAATTTGTGCATTTCTGCGATACGTGTATTAAGAGAAATGTGATTTATTAA